AGGAAGGTGAGGGGAGGTTTGGGGGTTTTTGAGGGGAAAGTTGGGGTTTTGGGTGGAAAAACGGGAGTTTTGGGTGGAAAAACGGGAGTTTTGGGTGGGAGATGAGGAGTGGGGGGGGGCGGGAAGATGGAGGCCTGAGGGGAGAAAATGGCGGCCGGGGGGAAAGGGAGGGTTGAGGAGGGGAAATTTGGGGTTGACGAGGATAAAATGGGGTTTTCTGAGGGGGAAATCGAGTTTTGAGAGGGTAAAATTGAGTTTTGAGAGGGTAAAATCGAGTTTTGAGGGGATAAAATTGAGTTTTCAGGGGGTAAAACGGAGTTTTGAGGGGGTAAAAGGACGGGGGGGCGGGACAAAATGGCCGCCGGCGATGAGGGAGAGTCGGCAGGAGGTAAAAGGGGTTTTTCTGAGGGGGAATTTGCGTCCGAGGGGGATAAAAACGCGTTTTTAGGGGATAAAAATGCGTCTTTAGGGGGAAAAGTGGAGTTTTGAGGGGAAAAAGTGGAGTTTTGAGGCGGGAAATTTGTGTTTCGTGGGGTTGAAGTCGGGGTTTGAAGGGGTGAGGGGGAAGACAAAATGGCGGCCGGAGGGGAGGGGGGAGGGGAAATGGAGGGGGAAGAAAAGGGAATTTGGGTGGAAAAATCGGGATTTTGGGTGGGAAAATCGGGAATTTGGGTGGGAAAATCGGGAATTTGGGCGGGAAAATCGGGATTTTGGGCGGGAAAATCGGGGTCTTGGGCGGGAAAATCGGGGTCTTGGGGGGACAAAATGGCGGAAATGGCGTCGTCCTGAGGGAGAGAAAATGAGGGAAAATGAGGGGAAAATGGGAAAAAATGAGGGGAAAACGGGGAAAAATTGGGGTGAAATGAGGGAATGTGAGGGGAAAATGAGGGAAAAACGGGAAAAATGAAAAAAAATGAGGGAAAAATGATGGGAAAATGGGACAAAACGAGGGGAAAATGGGAAAAATTGTGGGAGTATGAGGGAAAAATGGGGAAAAATGAGGGGAAAATGGGAAAAATTGTGGGAAAAATGGGGGAAAATGAGGAAAAAGGGGGAAAAGGGGAAGGGGAACCGAACGTTGCCGTTGGCGAGGGGAGAAAGGGAAGGAAAATTTTGGATTTTGAGGGAAAAACGGCAAAAGTGGGAAAAACGAGGCCGTTTGTGAGGGGAAAAATGGGATAAAAGGGAATTAAAGGGAAATTTTGGGATGAAATTTGATGGTTTTGGGGGGAAAAGGGGGTTAAAAATCGGGATTGAATTTGCTGGGGGAACTTTTGGGAGGGGGAAAGGGGAGGGGAGACCCCAAACCTCCCCAAATCCCTGAAAATTCCCAAAATTCCCTCAAAATCCTCCCAAAATCCCTCAAAATTCCCAAAATTTCCTCAAATCCTCCCAAATTCCCTCAAAATCCCTCCCAAATCCCTGAAAACTCCCGAATTTCCTCAAATCCCCCCTCCAAATCCCCAAATTCCCTCCCAGAATTCCCAAATTTCTCCCGAAATCCCTGAGAACTTCCCCGGGCCCTCCCGAAAACTCCAGAAAATTCCCAAAACCTCCAGAAAATTCCCGAAAATTCCCAATTTTTCCCGAAAATTCCCAATTTTTCCCGGAAGTTCCCAAGTTTCCCCGAAAGTTCCCCAAATTCCCCGGAAATCCCCGGAATTTCCCCTCCTCACCTGCGGGGGGGTCCCGGGGGACCCCTCCCCTCCCCCCTCGGCGTCGTCCTCGGGGTCCCCCAGGCTGGGGGGGTCACTGGTGCTACTGGGAGAACTGGGAATGCTGGGGGAGGGGCTGGGGGGGTCCTGGGGGGACAGAGGGGGGCGGGGTCAGACTGGGAGCGAACTGGGAGGGAACTGGGATGGACTGGGAGGGAACTGGGATGGACTGGGATGGACTGGGAGGGAACTGGGATGGACTGGGATGGACTGGGAGGGAACTGGGATGGACTGGGAGGGAACTGGGATGGACTGGGATGGACTGGGAGGGAACTGGGAGCAAACTGGGATGGACTGGGAGCAAACTGGGATGGACTGGGATGGACTGAGAGGGAACTGGGATGGACTGGGAGGGAACTGGGAGCAAACTGGGATGGACTGGGGTGGACTGGGATGGACTGGGATGGACTGGGAGGGAACTGGGATGGACTGGGAGGGAACTGGGATGGAACTGGGAGGGAACTGGGAGCAAACTGGGATGGACTGGGACCAAGACTGGAACCCAGCCAGCCCATAGCGGTTTGTAGTGGTTTATACTGGTCTGTACTGGTTTATACTGGGGTATACTGATCTGTTCTGGCCTGTACTGGTTTATACTGGTTTGTACTGGTCTGTACTGGGGCGCACTCACCGCGTCCCTGGTGCCCATTTTGGTTCTGCGCAGCAGCTCGGGGACGACGCCCGGGGGTCGCTCCTGGGCCAGGAAACGGTGCTGGAACCCCAAAAACGGCCAAAATCAACCCAAAATCATCAAAATCAACCCAAAAATCATCAAAATCAACCCCAAAAATCATAAAAATCAACCCAAAAATCATCAAAATCACCATAAAAATCATCAAAATTACCCCAAAAATCATCAAAATCAACCCAAAAATCATCAAAATCAACCCAAAAATCATCGAAATCAACCCAAAAATCATAAAAATCAACCCAAAAATCATCAAAATCAACACAAAAATCATCAAAATTAACCCAAAATCATCAAAATCAACCCAATATCATCAAAATCAACCCAAAAATCATCAAAATCAACTCAAAATCATCCCAAAATCATCAAAATCAGGCCAAAATCAACCCAAAATCATCAAAATTAACCCAAAATCATCAAAATCACCACAAAATCATCAAAATCAACTCAAAAATCATCAAAATTAACCCAAAAATCATCAAAATCAACCCAAAAATCATCAAAATCAACCCAAAAATCATCAAAATCAACCCAAAGTCATCAAAATCAACCCAAAATCATCAAAATTAACCCAAAATCATCAAAATCAACACAAAATCGTCAAAATCAACCCAAAATCATCAAAATCACCACAAAAATCATCAAAATCAACCCAAAATCATCAAATTCAACACAAAATCATCAAAATCACCACAAAAATCATCAAAATCAACCCAAAATCATCCCAAAATCATCAAAATCAGACCAAAATCAACCCAAAATCATCAAAATCAACCCAAAAATCATCAAAATCAACTCAAAATCATCCCAAAATCATCAAAATCAGGCCAAAATCAACCCAAAATCATCAAAATTAACCCAAAATCATCAAAATCACCACAAAATCATCAAAATCAACTCAAAAATCATCAAAATTAACCCAAAAATCATCAAAATCAACACAAAAATCATCAAAATCAACCCAAAATCATCAAAATCAACACAAAGTCATCAAAATTAACCCAAAATCATCAAAATCAACCCAAAATCATCAAAATCAACCCAAAGTCATCAAAATTAACCCAAAAATCATCAAAATCACCACAAAAATATCAAAATTAACCCCAAAAATCATCAAAATCAACCCAAAATCATCAAAATCAACCCAAAGTCATCAAAATTAACCCCAAAAATCATCAAAATCAACCCAAAATTGTCAAAATTAACCCAAAATCATCAAAATTAACCCAAAAATCATCAAAATTACATCAAAATCACCCAAAATCAGCCCCAAACCAGCCCGAAATCAGACAAAAATCATCAAAATCAACCCAAAATCTGGGGTTTTTTTGGGGTTTTTGGGGGAGAATTTGGGAATTTTGGGGTTTTTTGGGTGGATTTTGAGGATTTTGGGTTTTTTGGGTGGATTTTGGGGTGGATTTTGGGAATTTTGGGGTTTTGGGTGGAATTTTGGGAATTTTGGGGTTTTTTGGGTGGATTTTGGGAATTTTGGGGTTTTTTGGGTGGATTTTGAGGATTTTGGGTTGGAATTTTGGGAATTTTGGGGTTTTTTGGGTGGAATTTTGGGAATTTTGGGGTTTTTGGGTGGAATTTTGGGGTTTTTTGGGTGGATTTTGGGGGTTTTCGGGTCCCACCTGCAGCAGTTCCCGCGCTCGGGGCCGATCCTGCGGAAGCTTCCGGAGACAGCGAGAAACGAAATCCCGAAATTCCTCCGACCTGGGGGGGGATGGGGAATCTATGGGTCAGGATCTATGGGTCAGGATCTATGGGTCAGGATCTATGGGTCAGATCTATAGGGCAGGATCTATGGGTCACACAGGATCTATGGGTCATGATCTATGGGTCACACAGGATCTATGGGTCACACAGGATCTATGGGTCAGGATCTATGGGTCAGGATCTATGGGTCACACAGGATCTATGGGTCAGGATCTATGGGGCAGGATCTATGGGGCAGGATCTATGGGTCACACAGGATCTATGGGTCACACAGGATCTATGGGTCAGGATCTATGGGTCACACAGGATCTATGGGTCACACAGGATCTATGGGTCAGGATCTATGGGTCACACAGGATCTATGGGTCAGGATCTATGGGTCAGGATCTATAGGGCAGGATCTATGGGGCAGACAGGATGTATGGGGCAGGATCTATGGGGCAGACAGGATCTATGGGGCAGGATCTATGGGGCAGCACTGACCAGCTGTGGGGCTGTTTGAGCCCCGGGGGGTCTCTCTGGGCGATGTGGTAAAGGGCGCTCATCGCGTTCAGCTGGAACAGGGGCGGCCTCCGCTCAGCTGGGGGGGAAAGGGAACCCTAAAAACCCCAAATTCACCCCAAAAACCGTCCCTAAAAACCCCAAATTCACCCCAAAAAATTCCCAAATTCACCCCAAAATCTGCTCCCAAAAATTCCCAAATTCACCCCAAAATCTGCTCCCCAAAAACCCCAAATTCACCCCAAAAAATTCCCAAATTCACCCCAAAATCTGCTCCCCAAAAACCCCAAATTCACCCCAAAAAATTCCCAAATTCACCCCAAAATCTGCTCCCCAAAAACCCCAAATTCACCCCAAAAAATTCCCAAATTCACCCCAAAATCCATCCCTAAAAAACGCCCCAAAAAATAAAAAAAAAATTCCCAAAAAAATCCCAAAAATTCCCCAAATCCCCCCAAACTGAAGCCCCCTCCCCAATTTCCCCTCCCCCATCTCGATGCAGGCGATGCCCAGTGACCCCAAACCCCCCAAAACCCCCCCAAAAAATAGAAAAAAAATCCCCAAAAAATCCCAAAAATTCCCAAAACCCCCCCAAACTGAAGCCCCCTCCCCAAACTGAAGCCCCCTCCCCAATTTCCCCTCACCCATCTCGATGCAGGTGATGCCCAGCGACCACACGTCGGCCCGGCCGTCGTAGAGCCCCTCGTCCATGGCCAGAATCACCTCCGGGGCCATCCTGGGGGGCGGGGCCGGGGGGGGGTTCAGCCTTGGGGACCCCTCCCCGAATCCCCCGAGCCCCCTCCCCAAATAGAGAACGAACGAATCCCCTCCCCCCCCCTCACCAGTACGGGGTCCCCACCAAGGAATTGGCCGGGGTGGCCACGGCGGCCGAGCCGAAGTCGCCCAGTTTGACGTGGCCGGGGGTCCCCAGGAGGATGTTCCCGGCCTTGACGTCCCTGTGGGGCAGAGATGGGGGGCAGGGGGGAGCGGTTATGGGGCTGGAGGGAGCTGTGGGGCGGGAGCCATAGGGGAGGAGCTATGGGGCAGGAGGTATGGGGCAGGAGCTATGGGGCAGGATCTATGGGGCAGGAGCTATGGATCACACAGGATCTATGGGGCAGGAGCTATGGGTCACACAGGATCTATGGGGCAGGATCTATGGGTCACACAGGATCTATGGGGCAGACAAGATCTATAGGCCAAGATCTATAAGACAGGATCTATGGGGCGGGATCTATAGGGTGGGATCTATGGGGCAGGATCTATGGGTCAGGATCTATGGGTCACACAGGATCTATGGGGCAGGCTCTATGGGTCACACAGGATCTATGGGGCAGGCTCTATGGGTCACACAGGATCTATGGGGCAGGCTCTATGGGTCACACAGGATCTATGGGGCAGGCTCTATGGGTCACACAGGATCTATGGGGCAGGCTCTATGGGTCACACAGGATCTATGGGGCAGGCTCTATGGGTCACACAGGATCTATGGGGCAGGCTCTATGGGTCACACAGGATCTATGGGGCAGGCTCTATGGGTCACACAGGATCTATGGGGCAGGCTCTATGGGTCACACAGGATCTATGGGGCAGGCTCTATGGGTCACACAGGATCTATGGGGCAGGCTCTATGGGTCACACAGGATCTATGGGGCAGGCTCTATGGGTCACACAGGATCTATGGGGCAGGCTCTATGGGTCACACAGGATCTATGGGGCAGGATCTATGGGGCAGGATCTGTACCTGTGGATCACCCCCTGGCTGTGCAGGTAGCCCAGGCCCTGCAGGGCCCCCTCAGTGATGGCCCCGATCTCCTCCTCCCTCAGCGGCTCCTGGTGACCTTGGGGGGCAGGAGGGGAGTGACCCAAAATCACCCAAAATCACCCCAAA